ACCCACGGAGGGATACTGAATCATCGTGCGACATGTGTTCATGTCACCTCAGTCCTACTACTGCCTGTTAGAATCCAAGCTGCCAGGTTTACTGAACCGAATACCAAAAGTAAATGACCATTTTCGTTTATACCGTTTTTATTCATATAGTGGGGATCCCGAGACGAGACTGAATGCAACATTATCCGAAACGTAAACGAAACAATTTCTAAAGAATTAATGGTTTTATTTTAATCCGACATTTTTTTAACGATAAACGTTATTATAGGGATACTCCTATTTGAAACAGACGCTCCATTTTTTTTTTAAATCGGTAACACCTCAAGCAAGGTAGTAAATCCACTAGTACGCAATATTTAAATTTAAACAGTATGTATTGCGCCTATCTGCTTTAGCATTCAAGCAATCTTAATAAAGAAAAAGTGATCTCCATGATCCGCATTAATTCGACAAATCTTTTTCACTTTAAGCGTTATATTATTGCATTTCTTACGCGTCATTTTGGATAAACAACCAAAAAAAGATTCCCTCTTTATATCTATCTGTATTCGCTTGAAGCATTTTTTTTTTTTTTTTTTTTTTTTTTTACGCAGTTTGCATCCAGTTAATGTTCTGGGTGATTCTAATATACTTCCCAAATAAATTAAACAGATTTTGTGTCGCAAATTATTTTTGTGTAGTCTATAAAACATAGGATGTGTGGAGTGGTGTAATGGATAACGAGACTGAGAAATCGGAGAGTCGAGTTCGAATTCCAGTGGGTTTCGTTACATTTACTTACACACAGAGTTATGAGTCAATCTCTTCGTCCAAAAGTTATGGGTTGGGCAGAGGGGTCCTATAGCCGGCAACTACCGCGGGAAAATCTTCTACCTAATCAGTCATCATGATCGCCCAAGCGATGGCAATTAACTGACATTTTCCACTTTATTTATTTATTTATTTATTTTGAGAGTAAGGTTCACCTGTACAAGGCCCGGGAGCCACTCGAGGTAAAGTTACTGATTAAGGGGCACAGTTTATACAGATATGTCGTGAAGATAACGGTTAAGCCTAGACTTGAACAGGTAAAGATTGTAGTGACCTGGGAAGCATCCACTTGGGAGTGGGTTCCACCTTGTAGCGGTTTCTGGGGAGAAGAGTGTTAAAGTGTAAGAGGCACGCTTCATACGGATATTTGCGGAAGTATCATTTTGGGAATGAGTTACACTGAGCCATGGGAAGAAGCTACTCAAGTGGAATTTACTTCTCACCAGTGTAATATAGAGGGAATACGGGTGGTCTGCTACAATGTGCGTAGCATGGTGGGTTCTAGCAGTGTAGTTGAGAACTGATGGAACAAAAGAATGTCGTTTCCTCTGACCACTTTCCATGGAAATAACGATGGGGTAGCGAGAGGCGTTGCAATGTGGATAATAATTTGCCACCCACAAAAAACATAAGTAAAAGCCCTTTCTACATGGCTCACTCTGATAGCATTCTGTTTATAGAAATTGCATTTTTTTCTTCCTGAGACTTTAACAAAACAACTGTCCTGTTCTTCCTATGCTACAGACTCTAGTGTATGCTTGCAGTTCAGACCAAACACCAGGTTCGTTCTCAGAGCACAGCTTCTTCCGGTTAACGTTATGCGGTTTAGAAAATAACTCTTTCTTCTGTAGACGAGTGAGTTAGAGATGAGGGTTTCCTTTTTCTTTTCGCGTAGGGCAGAAGTGGTATCTCATCTCTCTCTCTGGATCTCTCTTTATTTTTCTGTGTTCGGCTGATAGTGACCACTGCCTTATAGAGGACAGAGTTCTTTTGTTTTGTCAACAAAAAGAAAAAAATTAATCGAGAATTATCTTCACTCGGTGACCCTCTTTGTTAGAATCGTCTGAGCCTATTTTGGTGTGGCACAATCCATTCAGCTGACCTTCATTGCCAAAACAGATAATTGTCAAAGCGATTTCCGTGGCCAGAATCCGGATGATAAGATTTGTTACGTACTTCACTAAACTGATTGTCCGATGGAGCTTGCATTCATCGATACCGGGTTTCATCCTCAGCGCTAGGAAGATGAATCTTTACTATGCCTGACTCTGTGGTATATTCTTCTTGTTCTCCTCGTCCCCCGCCCACATTTATTTATACCTATGTTTTACTAAGTTTATCTTGGCCGTACGCAAGTCGACAATTGTATCGCAAGTAGCAGGTGAATTTGCTCTCCAGGCGAACTTGTTTTCAGACAGCTTCGAATCCTCTGACATGTCCTGCCACCCAGTGAGATACAATCTCGCAACAGTCTACCAAGAGTATGCAACGGTAATTTGATATCTATCTATCTATCTATCTATCTATCTCATTCATTTAACATATGTGTGTCTATCTCACTCTATCTATCTATCTATCTTCATCTCTTTATATGGATCTATCTTCAACAACCATTTAATATAAGTCTGTCCTACTCTATTCATATCTATCTATCTATCTATCTATCTATCTATCTAGCTCGTTCTAATCAGCTGTCTACTTTACTATTCATTTGTTCCATTCTATTCATATCTATGTGTATACCTTAGTCTGGTCACGTCTCTCTCTCTCTCTCTCTCTCTCTCTCTCCTCTCTCTCTCTCTCTCTCTCTCTCTATGTGCGTGCGTGTGCGCGCATGTGTGCGTGTGTTTGTTGATGTAAAAGGAATGAACAATCAAATTGATGATCCAAAGTTGTTTAGTATTTTTGTTTTCATTATTTAAAAAAAACAGTGCTCGATACTGAAGTAAGGCTTAAAATTAGAATTTAAAAAAATGTTTAATATTTAATTTCAATATTAAACCTTAACTCCAGAGGACAGTTTCATTCTCAAGCGATGTTTGGAATAACTAACCGACCGGAGTTAAGGTTTAATATTGAAATTAAACTTTTGGGTCTTGAGTTTCAGTTTAGAAACCTAGTAATTTTTGTGTCGAGATTGAATCGTATGTTTTAATATATATATATATATATATATATATATATATATAAACATTCTCAGAGTTAGCCTGTAGAAAAACAGTATGAAAATAGCGTCCTCTAAATTCTTCCACTTGTTAAGGACAGCTTGTTTTGTCATTATTAGTTACTTAGTTTAATAAATTCATTTCGTTTTTTGCCTTTAAAAAGTCCACATTGGACGAAACGAGTCAGGTACCATTTACAGCTTCCTATTATCTTTTACACACACACACACACATATATATATATATATATATATATATATATATATATATGTGTGTGTGTGTGTGTGTGTGTGTGTGTGTCTGTGTGTGTGTATTCTGTCAAAATTAAATGCAATATCAATCGCTATATACTGTTTTCCTGGTTATTCTTTTCTCTTCCCGCTCATTATTAAAATTTGTGTTTCCTAATTTTGTTCTCTAACTCTGTCAAACTCTGTAACGCCATGTTTCTTAGTGGCTTTACTACCTTGCATAGGAAGATATCGATTGATATATATATATATATATATATATATATATATATATATATATATATATATATATGTATGTATGTATGTATAATACAAAACCTCTACACCAGCCCTCCTTTTATTATTTCTGATCTTACCGAAATTCGCTATCATGTATATTACAATGGAATCTGTCTCTTGTGCTTTGTTCGTGTTCATCTTGTTGAATGCTGATTTTCAAACTCTTGTGCTCGATAATAATAGATTTAATTAACTGAGCTAAATTCAATATTTATCAGCGAACATATATTTAATTTAATTTTATCTATTATATCGAATATTATACGGTGAAACATTCTGATCAAAACTCAGGTAATGTATACGTGTCAGGCTATGGATTTATTGATCCAATCTCGATTGCAAAACATAGAACAACGTTAGCCTTTAGTTAGAAAGGTATTTATAACTTGTGCCAGTGGCCGGCTCTCATGCCCTGCTAATAGCTAGGATTTCGACAGCTCAATGTGAGTAGTTGAAAGATCGGCCCAGCACCGTCTTCATACGCAGCCATTTCATCTGATTTGACCTTGTAATGACCTAAACAAGGCAGAGTTGTTTATACACCAACTTGATATCATACACACAGAACATCGTGTTATATACTCACACAAAGAATAATACATTCACTTACACACGCATGGAGAAATGTTTACCCGATTATATATCAAATTGACGCAGTTTGAAGAAATAAGACTTGCAAACATACAACAGCCCAATATATTATATCTCAGTGTATGATAGTGTAGACAGGCAGTTCTATTTTATGTCACAAACCTCTCTTGTTTTGAGTTCGAATCTTAGAGCCGGTCTTTTTTTTTATTTTTTATTTTTTTACGAAATCGAACTTAACCCACCAACATTTACACAGACTAGAAAGATCTGTGAAATTTTCACGGTTTTTCTATTTTAATATTCTGGTGAATCTTAATGATCGAGTAAGCTCATAGCGAGTTCTAAAACAATAAAATATCCGTATTCCCCCCCCCCTCCCGCCATCGCATCGTTAAATATTTCAGCTTAACAGCTTTTTAACAAAATACTGCAATAACAATAAATATGAATACTGGTCATTTATTTAAGAAGTGCATAGAAAAGATTTGAAATTGACTACTGTTTTCCATTTCATTCAAACAGACATCAAGCACTGATATCTTCCTTTTCTTCATTTTTTCTCACTGATCCCAAGTAGCGTCTACGCTATGAGTTTTGTTTATCAAAACGGAATAGTCCATTATTCATGAGGCATTGGCAGGAGACGTTAAATATATCGATCTTCCATCGCTCCTTTCTTTCTTTCTTTCTTTCTTTACTTATTTATTTTTTCTCGCTGAAACCAAGTAGCGTTTCCCCCCCCCACCTCGTTCCACTCGGTCATAATAGAATAGTTCATTATTTATGATGTATTGGCAGGACTTAACGATCGTGCGAATTGACGAAGCGAGGGACAAGCATAATTACAAAAGGATATGAAAAGTAAGCAAAGATGGCATCTTCATTAAGACACTAGTTGGTCAGAGTTTAATATTGGCAGAGTGTAGAAAAAGATCTTTATAAGCACTCAAACTTTTTATTCTTAGGAAAGACATGAGTCCATAAAAATTCTCATCTCAGCATTTTATCTTAATAAACACATCTTCAACTGTATATACGCTTACGTCCACATCAAATTGAAACATCAGTTAGTACTGAAATGGCTAACCGCTCGGGAATGCTAGGTGCTGTCAGCTTGGGTGTGTCGGTGGTGTAATGAATAATGACCCTGAATTCTTTATAGGATAGCCGATTTCTAATTCCCGTTGGGTTTGCTATATCAATTTACGCGCAAATACCCACGGGAAAAGGTATGAATCCACATTTTCCCCCCCAGCTATAGGTTAATTAAGAAGTCTTCAGAGTCTGTCTATATTTCTGAGATGAGGTATTATGTACATTATTTACATTATTCGGACTATTGTCCTCATCTTTGTCGCTATATTTATCACAACGTTTCGGCCGTTGTACACTCCGGCCTTCTTCAGGTGGTTGGAATGTCGAACTGAACCCTTTATTTCGCTCACTGGGGTAGACTGTTCTAGTTCCACGTGCCATGTTTGATGGGTGTCAGGTATCAGTTGTTTCCTGTTAATTTCCCTCTGAAATTTCTCCACTGCCTTAACCGGGTATTGAACTCACACTCTTTGGGTCCTTGTCACTGGATCTAACCAACGCCTTTATCCACTGTGGCACAGTGGATAAGAACAGTCTACCCCAGTAAGCGAAATAAAGGGTTCAGTTTGACATTCCAACCACCTGAAGAAGGCTGGAGCGTACAACGGCCGAAACGTTATGATAAATATGGCGACAAAGATGAGAACATTAGGAAGACTTGTATTACTAAAATATTATCTCCAAAACAATAAAAATTTACATGCTAAAAACATTTTCTGATTTTAAATAATCTGCAAAGGTTTGATAGGTAGAAATCGAATCATCCAAAGTAAATGTAATGTATTTACATTATTTATATTGTTCGAATAGCTGTCCTCATTTTTATTATCATATTCACGACGTTTCGGCCGTTGTACGTTCCGTCTTTCTTCAGAGGATATATTTCGAACCGAACCATTTATTTTGTCCACTGAAGTAGATTGTTCTAATTCCACGTGCCATGCCTTTTTCTGGATATCTCATTTTCAGTTAATTTCCTTTAGTAAATCAACTCTTCAAGATTTTGTTCACCTATGTTGTAGGCAGGTAATTAAGCTTACAAATCTTTAGGGAAAGTCAACTTTGGATTAATTCAGCCAACGATTTTATCCACTTGGCCATGCCCTTGGGGACATCACTCACTGATGTCGCCGTGGACAAAAGAAGGCCGGAGCGTAAAAGGGCCGAATGTGACAATAAAGATGGAGACAACAATGCGAAAGATGTAAATAGTGTAAACAGTTACAATAGCTCATTTCAGAAATATACACAGATCCTAAAGAAGGTCGGAGCGTACAACGGCCGTAACGTCGTGAGGGTCACAATGAAGATAGTGATAACAGTCCGAATAATGTAAATAGTTACAGTACCCCATCTCAGAAATATAGATACTTAAATGTATTTGGATATGTCTATAGTGAGTGCATTTTAATATGTATTAATTACAATCGTATATATTTTTATCAGTTTCTTTTATGAGCAGTTTGTTTTACGCAAAAGAATAGGGCGTCGCTCTATACACAGATCATTTTTTTTGAAGAGCTTAAAATCATCTATTTTCTCTGACCGCTTGCAATATAAACAGGTAATTTTTTTTCTGGAGAGATTTAATAGGATAAAAGGGGGATACTATACATAAAAGGGGGCTACTATACATAAGTCAGCTTATACGGTAAATTATTTGCAAATATACTGGGTGTAACGGCAAAATTGTCCAAATCGTAGAAAAGCAAAAGTATTCAATTGTTAGATTAAGATTTGAACCGTTGTATCTTAGAAATGATTAAAGATATCCTACTGGAATTCTCTGAGTTTTTTGTAACAACACTATTGGACTCTTCTATGAGCAATAAGTATGTATAATTAATCTCCAACAGAAGAAACTTGATGAAATTGATCATAAACGAAAATGATATGTTCATCATTAATTAATCATAGCTAAGTATCGGAAGCTCATGAAGAATTGGAATAAAGTTCAAAATATATATATATATATATATATATATATATATATATATATATATATATATATATATAAATTATAAATTGATTTAAAATATGTTTTTTTCCGCTTTTGATTTATAATATTAATGCTCTGTAAATTTACATTGAGCACAATTTTGTAAAAATAAAATATTTATAAGAACACCGGATTTTATATCTTACTGTTCTTTTTTTTTATTTATATACATATATATTATATATTTTATATATATTATATATATATATATATATATATTATATATATATATATATATATATATATATATATATATATATATATATATATATATATATATATATATATATTCCAGGATCATTTTCCAACTTATTCAAGATGATCGTCGCCTCTCTAACCTTCTAACTTTCTGTCCTGAATAACACGGTGGCTCACAGGTTTCACGTACGATTTCATTTTCAAGTCTTTTTTCAGCTCTTTGGACTGTCATAACTGAAACTCTCCTTTCACGTGCCAAACGTCTTATAGATTGAGT